CAATACTGTAGTAAAAAATGCAGAGAATTCCATTCTGTATCACATGTACTGTGTTGGAATAAAGCATATTATTATTATTACTTTCTAAAGTGAGGAAAAAACCGCTCGAATGTAGTGTTTCCTAGTCACTCACATCATTAGACCACCATCTCCCGAAGCTTCCGTGCTTTTCAAACATCTTCTAGGCGTATGTTTGCTTTTTACATCAATTCTGTAGAGTTATCTCCAACTGTCAATGATAGATTATAAAAATTCAGCCCAGAAAAACTCTCACTCTCCCACGTTCTTCAAGCTGACGACTTTCTACAGGACTGAGAAAAGTAAATAAAGGAACTAAATATTCACTGTTAACAAACAGTTGATGTGTGTCGACCGTAACAGGCTGGATTCAATAGGAACAAATCATGCATCGACTAAATCGCAACACTACGGATCATCATCGAACAGAGCTTGGAATGGCAGTCAGCTCTCTATCTCAACTTCATTGACTTTGAAAAGGCCTTCGACAGCGTCTATCGACAGGTGATTTGGCAACTACTTCGCTACTACCGGGTGCCACCGACAATTATACATCTCATCCAACAGTTGTACAACAATGCTGCATGCCAAGTAATCCACAACGGGAAACTCATGGAATCCTTCGAAGTGAGGACAGGAGTAAGGCTGCCTACTATCTCCAATGATTTTCCTGATTGCGGTAGACTGGATAATGCGACAAACAGTGGGCAATGAGGAAACAGGCATAAAATGGACTCACACAAATACTTGGAGGATCTGGACTTCGCCGATGATATATGTCTGATTTCCTACAAACTGGAAGATATGCAAGCGAAAAGCAACAAGTTGTCAGAAGAAGCATCAAAGATAGGACTTCAGGTGAACATAGAGAAAACAGAGGTAATGAAGATTCCTGACCAACACCAACAACAGACAACGATCGGCATAAATGGGAGGAACCTGAAGGAAACAACCTCTTTTACCTACCTACCTACCTACCTACCTGGGAAGCATCGTTTCAACTACAGGTGGACGGTACTAATGAGGATATCAAAGCGAGGATCTGGAAAGCAAGGTAAGCTTTCATTTCTCTCACGTCTGTGTGGAGATCAACAGCACTCAGCATAAAAATGAAAGTAAGAACAGGATTTCCAACTTCAGTGTGAAGTCAGTGCTACTTAGTATATGGGTCAGAGACTTGGCGCGTCATGAAGGGCACCTCAAACAAACCACAGACCTTCATCAACAGCTGTCTTCGCTCAATACTCAAGATCAGATGGCCAGAAAAGATCATCAACACGGATCTCTGGGAGCGAACCAACCGACCAGGAACCGACTGTGCAACAAATATGCAGGTGAAGTAGCCATATTCTGAGAAAACAGACCATCAAGTGACATCACACGCCAGGCCATCGCTCCAGTGAAAGGCGAATGGGAAGCGGCGAGTTGGTCGTCAGTCTGAGGGTGACATGGAGGAGGTCATGTGAAGAGATGATGAAAGCACGTGGGCAGACGTGGAGCCAGGTGAGAACGTTGGCAGAGAACCGAACGCAATGGAGTCGTGCGGCTGAAGCCCTATGTTCCTCTAGGGACTAAAGGAAACAATGATGTGTGTCACGTGTATGCCATATGTCTACTTCAGCGTACATGGGTTTCGCGACGACCAAAATAACTCATAACATATGTTCTAACCAAGGGAGATTTAGTCCTTCGAATTACTATCCACAAAGCTAGCGGTTCTTTTCCACCACCTATGGGTTATCAACTAAATTACCAAAGGTATGCAGATACTGAACATTTTATACAGCGGAAGCTATTGCAATCTGTCTAAGACAACCAGAGCGCTACGTGCAAAAGAAACAGTTCTAGCCAGCCACTATTGCTACCCTAGCCTGCTGTCCGACTTATGAATTTGTAATTTTTCTTTCGCTTCCCTTAACGTATGTGATGCTTTGTTTAGTGTTATATTAGTACCTCCTATCTTCCTCTTACTGATGCTTCTGAACTGTATTCTATCGATTCAATGTAATTTGAAGCAGAGTTAATGTTGTTAGTAATGACAATATTTCTTTAATTATTTTGGCCACATAACTGTAGAACCTGATAACGAATTTATCGAAAAGAATATTCTTCGTTCATTAGTCAGTTTTCTTTCTAAACTTAAGTCCATTAGTATAGTAAACATCCTTCTAGACGCTGATGTAAATAGCTTTCCTGCTTTTCGGCTTAACTTTACTTTTCGGAATATGTCAGATACCATTATTGCTGTGCGTAATACCGCTGATTTTCGCTGTTGTCCAATGAGTTTTTATGATTTAGATTGTCACGATTTAACCTGTCCTCATTTATCAAGAACCTGATGCTCACCAGTGACTGGCTATGGGAAGAAGTCGACTGAAGTTCTGGGGAGAGGTCGTGACCAGTGCGGTCGGGAGTGATGACAAGTACTCACCGCCAACGATATTAGCTGTTGATCACTCTAAAATCACGATTTGGTAGAAGTTAGAATTCATGGGCCACTCAGCTGAGTCCCAGTGACTGAATGGTCTACGAGCTAGAAACCGGAGGGTCCTGGGTGAGCATGTCGTGATGATGAGTTCCAGGCTAGGACAGCATACATTTGTTGCGATTCAATTTGGTCTTTACTACTATTAGAGTGGAACTGTTCAACTATATGTGATCAATACCAAGCGACTTCTTCACCAATTCTTCCCAGATCTATCTAGTAGTGGGCAAAATTCACTGGATATATTGAAGCACCGATCCTAATGATGTAGTTTGAAACTAGGTGCTGACTCTCGTATGTATGAAAACCTTCACAATGCATGGTTTGGAACTTAATAAATAGTCGGTCTTAACTTGTCAGTGAATAGAGTATAGGATGTTGGCTTAAGCATATGGACTTCTGGAAAGTGGGCTCCAGCGTTTCAATAGTCACCGGCGCACTTCAACCTGAGAAATATTATCAGCTCTTACGCAGAAAGTCTGGTAGATGAAGAATCTGTACCATGTGGCTCGGTTCCTAAACAGAACAAAAAAACAGCTAATGAGTGAGGCAATGCGCGTAAAACCCACTCATACTGTAGGACATCTCCAGTAAAAACCTAAATTCAGCTAGTACCGTTAGTTGGTGATGAAAATGCACTTCATATATTTCTACCTACTTGTATAAGCTGTTTTCCAGGTCTGTAGATTCATAGTTGTAGATGAAACTTCCACAAACTAGAAGAATCCCAAGAAAGACGATTATTCTGATTGACATCGTACACGAATTCTCCCAAATGCGAAATTCAGGAAAGCTACCACTTATGCTCATCTTAAATGATGACTAACAGTAGCGTCCACAGGACTTTTGTAAACCACTACCGTTACAATCATATCTTTACGATCTAACTAACAAATACTTATCAACTAGTACTCCTCGCCCCGAACGAATACGAAAGTAACAGCAAAGGTACAGACTTGTTAAACCCTATGCGTTTACATTTTGCTTAGCACCTAGCATTCTTCAAAACTTTTACATTTTTTAAATCGGCAACTGTGTCCGTCAAACACGGCATTATTTGTATCAATAAGAGCAAACTTATTTACTGAAGAAAAACTGCAGCGGTGATTACAGCGTGAAATTGTCAAGTAGTCTCCTTGCTCAACTCGTCTGGTTTGATACTTCAAAATATATATATACACCGAACATCAATACATGTCTTGCCACGAAACATAATTGGTGGGGGACAGGCAGGTCCACCAACAAATAATGGAATTAGCAACTAAGGAGTGTTTTTAAAACATTTGGTGCATTAGTAAAAGCCTCGAGCTCAAATCACTGGCCAACTTCATATAAAGACATTTGAAGATGTGCAGACTTCTCGCAGAAACGTTTATGAATTCATAGGGACATTACTGAATGCTACTAAATCCTACGTTGAATTGTCTATCCAATGTAATACAGAGGAAAGATAGATCAAGTTGTATGTGAAATAGTTGAGGACATGGTTAAGAACCACTTATGCTCTGTGAGAAGCGAGTAAGGTGTCAGGACTCCATCCCCTATGTTACCATGGGTTGACAGAGATTCCTAGGTGGACACATTAATGCGCAGCACATCAGATGTGTATTCAGCCATGGAGCTGAAAGTAGTTGGTGCCACTCGCCTTTCGAAAAGAAATTACACCAGGGAACTATTATTATTCATCAACGTTAAGTCCGCGAGAATCTCGATGCAACCTTTAATCTGTCTTCGTCTGATTATCAGGTTCAACAATGTGCTATGGACCAGTAAATCTGAGGCGTGACTTCTGTGAACAACCTAGTGATATCCACAAAACAAGAGGACAACACTAACTAGCCTATTTGGGAGATGAAACTATGTGTCAAGCCTTAAAGTGGTTTGCTTCGAAAAGCATAGATCCTTAAAACTTCGTATTTCTTTTTCATACTTATTCAACTCATTACTTTGAGCTGAGTCTATTAGGGGCGATATACTGGTGATGCCGTAATCACATCGGTAAATTCTACAAAGACATATCATAATTTGAAGGGCTTTCTTAAGAACACGAGACCTATACTTAGCACTAAATCAAATACCATGAATTGTTCTGGTGAAAAGCACTCCTAGGATAAACACATCAACCAGTCAGTATGATTAGCATTACACGAGCAAACGGATAGTACCATAATATTAAAACCTACTTTACGAAAGACAAAACAGTTGATGTACAGCTACATTAAGGAGGGAACTAAGCATTCCATGTCACTTGATCCTCTGATTACCTCAAACGTCCAACAGTGATGCCAGTAGATGACATAGCTGCGCGATGCCACTGTCAAGTGTTAACTTTGATCAGCCAATGAAAGATTCCCCGACGACTGGTGCCTTCGCATTTCCAAGCTGGCACGGAGTGAGCTGTCAGATTTTTAGAATCAGTTGACATATGAACTCAAAACCATGGCTACACATTTAAGAGGTTTACCTTGAAAGTGAAAGAAATCACAAAAATTCTAAGTAATCCGGGGAACGTGTATTAGACAAATCAATAACCAGCATTCTCTTTCATCATCTGTCGTTTCATTTTCTTCTTTGACTCCTTCTTCTTGACTAACTGTGGAGTGGCTGCAGCGACTTTAGGAACGATGTCGTCTTTTGTGGCTAGGATAACTTCTACATGGCATGGTGAACACATATATGGGTTGATCCGACCATGGGCACGGTATGTGCGACGTCGCATTTTAGGAGCTTGATTGACCTAACGCTGTAAGTGAAAATTCCACAAAAATACCTGAATGTGTTTTATGTACAGACGACTGGCTTCACCTCCTTTGATATCCTTGTATACTCCATTGCTGAAGGCATTGTGCAAAAGTTGGAGAAGCATCTGTGCAGACTTTTTGGGCCATCTACCTTGAGTTGTCTTCCAAACTTTCGCTTGAGCGTGTCGACCAACACCACCATTGAATTTACGGAAAGGGATGATTTCTTTCTTTTCAATAACGTTCTTCAAATATGTTTGTGCTCGCTGAAGCGTCATTCCCTAAAACATTCATATGATTGTCGATAATAGAATTACTTTAACGGCACAAGCACATTCGTGCATGTTTTTGAAATGTGTACGTAAGTAAGGAATTCGAGCCTTGCATGTCTTACTTTCGTCCTCATCTTTAGGTTCCCAAGAGTACTTAACCATTCTGCCTTCAGACTAACCGCGCCTAAAAACGTGGCAAGACAAACTGACCGCTATTTCTATTACGGACATGAAAAACAACTGAATGTTCAGTAGTCCAGCAACTCAATGAATAACTTCTGATAGTAAAACTGAGTTCGAATATAAAAAGGAAAAGTGTACCTTAAGGATTTTCAATAATTAAGTATTTTTGTCTTCTATCTTCTAGCCAATCATATTGTGATCTACATTCGTAGTAACTCATCGGTTTCCGCTATCAGCAAATGAGGAGAATAGCATTTTTTATGGCCTTCGTTTCTAAAAATATGAAATTTGGGGAGTATATCTACACAGAAGTGTTGCGTCTTATTCAGACCTTTAGCGGCGCAGAATGATACCGAAAACTGGATTTAAAAATATGCTTGTTGGCATTTGTCATTATGGAGAATAATGGATTAAAGAAAGATATAAGTGTTGTAGAAAATCCTTTCGCAGAACAGTAGTTGAATTCACAAGGATCACCCAAATGTTTCTCAATCATATACTTTCGTAACGTATGAGCTCTCACGGGGAAGTAGTCTGCTTTGGTCTAAATTTAGCACGGGCTTTTTTATTGAAAATATAAGCTCACAGCTGTAAATGATCTGTGAAGGCGCATTTGTGAGTGCTGCAATATGTAACTATGGTATCGAGCCAATAAATTCTCTTGACATTATTTGAAAATTACCATTTATTTAAGAGAATTCCTGTTACTGTTTCTTTCAGAATCGTAACTAGGTTACAGCCTTGTGGTCATTTTCATTATCAGACATGAATTTATCCTGATAAAGACCAAGGCGTTCTCGCTCACCTTTGTGACGAGGACATATACGTTGTAAAGTGACTATGGGAACCTGTGTGCCAACATTCTTCCGGTAAACCCTGGGCAAGGAAAGCCTTAAAAGTCCGTTTCCAAAGTGTGTTCACTAATTTATAGGGTTGTGTATACACAATTTCTGCAGAATATTTATGCTAGTGTGTGCTGGTTGTGTTGTGCTCTGCTTGTTCATTCCTGTAAGTCATCAGCCATCGAGCTTAAATGAATTGCCTAATAGTAGTAGCTTCATATTCACCCTCTGTTATTGTTATCTACAGCCTGTCCTCTACGGCAGCATGGGTCGGACCAAGGGGACCATACAGTTTTGAGGTTGAGACATTGTCTGTCCAAATAAGTATATGCACGCTGTTTGCCAAAGCCATTTATAGTGGGGTCCAGAAAAAAAAGGAATCCAAATCTTTCAAGTGGTGCTGAAACTGACGTGGCAAATGCAGATTCACCCTTTCTTTGTACAAATATCCAGTGAAGGCATTTGAATGCTTCCGACATTCTGGTCCCATTCAAGGTTGGCGAAAAATTTAAGCCCCTTGACCTCCAAATTTGCTTATAGCCTTTCACTTAGTGCAAAAATCCATTAATAATTTAAACTGTAATGGTTCAGACTATCTCCTCAACTCAGTTGAATTTCAGATATTTTGCTTTCAGCAGTCAACGAGTTTATCTGCGCTGATTGGATAGGGCTGCGGAACACTGCGTTCTGGGGGAACAGGGGGGCGGCTGCTCAGTTGCGGTGTGACTGTTTATTTGTATGTTCTCTTCACCATCGTTAATAAGTACACCCTTGAACAGCGCGAGAGATGTATCCTCCTTCACTATATAGGGAGATGTTAAGGGCAGTTAGGCCTCCAGTTTAGGTGGACCAGGCTAAAGAGCCAGCAGGTAGAATGCTAGAAGCTCAGGTGTGGCAGAGTGGATGGTCACACGAGAATCATGAGCATTGTAGCTAGTTGAAGCCAACGGGAAACGAGCCTGATGCCATTCAAGTTGCCTAACTTACTGGCTTCACAGAATTGGTGAGTACACCGTGATTTATATTGACTCACACCCTTCTTATTCCTAATTCTCAATCGATACTCGCCATGTTTCTACCACTATATCCTTTCTAAATCTTTGGCGGCAATAATCGCAGCTTCATTCCCGGAAAGTTATCGCAACTTATTTGTATGTAGGCACATAAACTAATAGTACCAGCAGCCTGCCTTCTGAATGAAAGGGACAACCACAGAACGGGAGGTAAGTTAAGTGAGCATCGGCTTACTTTTTTATCACTGGTACCTTTCATGTGAGTTAGTGTGGGAAACTTTAACTCAGCACTCACTCTTTTAGTGACGCCTCGAATTTTTGTATCGTTGTTACTGTTTTAATTCCTGGAAAATTCCCATTGTAACATATAGGAAATTGAAACAAATGATTCAGCGAAGAGACTCTTTTCAACGAATTTATCATCAAGCTGTACAATCGTATATATATGGTTTTTAAGAAGTTATATCCGGTGAGGGAATTGAAACATAGGTGTGAATGCATGAAATAATAATAATATGAAGTGCAATTAAAACTAAAATGTTTGTGATTATAATCGTATTGCTGAAGCTTTGGCTATCGAAACAGAAAAGCCAGATCTCTGTGTACAGAAAAAGTTCGTTCAACCCCTCCAACTTTCATGGTCTTCATCCCTCTATGCTAAAGTATGGTAATCCCCAATCATATTTTAGCTCTACCAATTCTTCATTTTTTCATTTTTGTCTATTCAATTTGTATACTTTTCCTTATTAAGTCAATTGTTACTATTACTACTCTCACTTTTAATTGTCTCCGGTATTATTTCACTTGTTCCACTTGCCATTCTAAATCAATTCCTTTATGCAAGATTAAATTCTATGCTATTAAATTTCACACAATATTACGTAACGTTTTTATTTTTTCGATTTATCTACTAATCTTATACTTGCACACCTTTTTCAAGTTCTATCCATCCTATGAATTATTCTATATATGACATTAATTTGTTTTGCCACTTGACATTTAACTACGATTATAATCACAAACATTTTAGTTTAAATTGCACTTCATATTATTATCATTTCATGCATTCACACCTATGTTTCAATTCCCTCACCGGATATAACTTCTTAAAAACCATATATATGCGATTGTACTGTTTTAATTGTTGTGGTACATTTGGCATGCTAATTCGCGTCTCACCATCCTTGTTCTATGTGAGCCCCATCAACATAATCAGTTATAACGTATTTGCCAATAATATACACTGTCATGGCGAAACAGTCATGAATTGGTATGACCACACAGCACAAAACGCCAGTCATTTATGTCGATGATATAGTTGACCACGTCATCACTGCCCATGTTTAGTGACGAGTTCAACTACTGCATCAATGATTGCGGGTTATGTGCAAGTTGCACTTCTTGCACAGTCATATCAGTTCATTGGTGATATATTTATCTAGTCATCCCTTTACATTAGTTTCCGGCCTAGCAGTCGAGCATATCTGTTGTACACTAGTCGGTGTGTCGCACCCATCCCATCAAAGACACGAATTAAGAGTTATTGTCCCCGTTGCGACTTACGAAGGCCCACACGAATCCTCATCCACTGTATTGCATTGCACTGATCTCATCTGAATTTAGCGCAACTAGTTGGCCAACTAAATTCTCTAGACTTTCTCTTGCACCATATCTTTATTTCACATTCAACAGCAGTCTCAGAGGCTGGTCCAGAATTTAGCTATCTGATGCTTATTACTGACATATACACATGAGTCTTTTTACAGTTACCAAATATAACCATTGGTAATGGCTTATGTCGCTCCTAATCCACCGGTTGTTTACACTCAAGCTTTGCCGATGTCCAGGAATAATGCCAGTACTGAGCGTCAATTATCTGTGAGTTCTATAACGTGGCGAAAATAATCTAGCTGGCAAGTACTGAACCACCTTCTACATAAGGAACCGTGCTGAGATCAGGAAAATAGGTCACCAGAAAGCAAATACTGGATCACTTGGTTCTTCACAGTCTCTTCTATTTCATGTGAAACCAGAGAAGTGATAATGGTGAGGCGACAGTCGTTCGCATCATCTCTTCGTCCGCCGAACGGAAGATATACCGTCTGCACCAAGAGTGTCAGTAAGCTTAAGAGTTGCGAATGCCCTATCGATAGATGGAGAAAAATTATGCGAAGGCCCGCAATGGATATGAGAGTTATTCAGCTTTCAATTTGCTAGCTACTTCACTAACGAAGAAACAGCGGGTAGTCTTGACGTTCCGACACCACCAAATCACTTTTCTGGCAATATAACATTCACCCCACCAAAACCTTCATCCGCTATGGCATCTCTCCGGACATCATATAATGCCATCCCTGATGGAATTCTATCTATTCTGTTGAAAAAGGGTGGTGAAGACATACCCATCATCCTCCTAAAGTTTTTCAATCTGTACTTAAATAATGGAAGTTGCCCAGAGCGCTGGAAGCTGTCGCCTATAACCACCAGGCACAAACTGGGACCAACTTATAATATCGAAAAATACCTACCCACCAGTATCACGTCAGTAATAATAATATATTTTTCCTGTCAATGTAGGTGTTAATCGCGACAGATAGATAGACTGTATGATAAACAGCCAATCAATATTATGTGACCTTTCTTGTCGCGATTATTGGCCAATTTATTGTAACTCTCACCACGTGATGACCTTGAATGTTCTGTTTTGTCTGTCACTGTACTTGTATATACATGTAATTAATTGACTGTTCATTTTGTCCGTACCTTCAATACTGTACGGTACGTTTTTGTCCGTTTTTTTGTAATGACGGTGGATTGTACATTTTTCTTGGTGTAATTTTATGATTTATTTTATCTTTTAGAAACAGATAGAGTTAAAGTCAAGTTATTCTGTTTTAACTATAGTAAAGCCAAGACTCTGTGTAGTCAGTATTGAGGAAGGACTAAATCTGTAGGACAAAATAATCCTACAAAGTTTCGTACAGTATTCCAGACGAAAGTTTCGAACAATATGGCAGACAAAAGTTATGAAACTATGCCGTCGTTAACTCCACAATTAGGAAAGAGTAATGAAGCTGATTTCCTTGGAAGCAACGAGTATGAATCACGCTATATGATAGAATTG